TTGTTTTACCCAAAATCACTTCTTTAATAGAAGCATAGGAATTTTTGTGAAGTGAAATTAATTTACTTCTTTGCCTTTTTTAAAATGTTTTAAAAAAGGGTAATTAAAATTAGATCTAGGCAAAATCCATATGTTGTATTCTGATTTGAAGACTTTGAGCTTAAATAATATACAAGGTCCTCAATAAAAGTTAAAGGTTCTAAAGTATTTTTTCTATGCTGCAAGCCGTGTTTTTTTTAATTTTCAGATAATTGAAAAGTGCACGGTATTGAAATAATTAAGTTTTCTGTTTTATTAACCTGTTCTGATAATATATGTTTCTTGTTAAAATATGTAGAAATATTGACTTGCTTTCTTTTTGCAATAGTTGCTTTTTTACTATCTCGATTGCTCATTTGTTAATTACGTAAAAGTATAAAATAGCGCTTGACATACAACACGTAAAACTTATAAAATATCATTTAAAATTTTAAAAATTAAATGTAGAATTAAAAAATTAAAATAAAATAAATACAGTTATGTCGAACAATCCTTTAACTCAAACTTTTGTTATCTCGAACTATTTTCTAGAGTACCTTGAAAGTAATAACAATTGTTTTACTTTGCTTAAATGGAATATTTGTTTAGTCGAACCGTTTTCCTTAGTCCGAGTTAACGGGAATTTACTGTATATGATTATAAATGACCGATTACATTAAATAGAACACATTAAGTTACAATGCATTGTGGTTAAAAACTTTTTTTGTAGAAACACACGAAGTATTCATGCGTTTTTACAATAAAACAAAAACTAAGTTATGCTGCATAACTTATGCATATGCATATATGCATAACTTATGCATATTGATATATTTTCTTACTCGCCTTAAAAGAATATATAACATAGTCCCGAGGATGGGGGGGGGGGGGGGGGATAAGCCGTATGCTTCCCCCCTCTCTTTTAAACCACCAACTGAGTAAAGTAAACTAAATAGTTTCTATAGTTTGTAAGCAATAAAATGTAGTGGTACAAAGTGTTTTTTATGTTGTTAGTTTTTAGTGTAAAATTTGTTTTTGTTGAATATAGAAAAGTCATAATAGCGATTGAATTAGTAAAGAAAAAATAAAGTGATGTTAAGTTTTGTTATTGCGGAAATACGATTGGATCAGCAGACGGATTAAAAAGGTATCAAAAATATAAGTAAGGCGTATCTTAGCCATGTTCAGAGACTATATCTAGTTTCAAATGTGAGTTACGGAATGAAAAATAATAACATACAATAAGCATATAAGTTCAATAAGCGTTCTTAATTTTCCTTCAAACAAATTAAAAATTATACCACTTGATTATATTTCCCTTCCCTATCCCGTTCCCATAGAAAAACGGATGAGCGGAAAATCATCTTTACATAATATTAAAAGCTAAAAAAAAAATTGTAAACATAAGAAATTCTTAATAGGTGTTGTAGCATAATATGCGACAACACCTATTAAGAAAAATCATATATGCCGATGACATATTTCTTAGTTCTACTGTTTCAAGATTAAAAAGCTTATAAAAGTCTGTAATATATACACTAACGCAATTTTTATAATATTGAATGCTAAGAAGACCGAGTTTTTGTTAACCGGATAAAAACGAATTTCAAACTACGCGATAACAGTAACACGACACGACAAATGATAAAATTTATTACTAATTTTATACGACAAGATGATAAACTTAAATTTGCCTAACAGTAATCCAAATTTATTCATAATTTATTCAGTTATAAACTTGGATTAACAAAGCGAGTTTATGACTTTTTAGTTTATGAAGCCATTTTGTTAAAGATAGTTAAAAGGAACTCATTTAAGTCACTCTTTAATGTTTCAAAACACAACAAACGTTATATTCAATCTTTATTTTAAATCCTGTTTTACAAGATATATCAGTGTATAAATACATTGTGTTGAAAATTAAAAAGTTAAAACAGATAAATTTAAACTTATATATTCGCACATTGAACAATAAAATAACCTTGGATATTATGAACTTGCAATTCGAAAATCAAACCGCTTGTCGCTACTTTTTAGATAATGCCAAAGCCTTGTCCAAACGTAATAAAAAAAGTCTAAAGACCTTAATGCAATACAAAAAAATCACTGCCTTAAAAAATATAATTCGTAAAAAGGACCGTCAAGTTCTAAACTACAATTACAGCTTAAAAATCATTTCCTTAACTCTCAGATTACTGGGGTTGTTTTTTGAGGGTATCTTTGTACTTTAATTTTTCTAAAATATAATAATTTTTATAAATATAAGCGCGAAAAAAAAGTTCCTCCTTAACTGATACAACCAAAGTATGCACAAATCTCAAATTAAAATTTCTGAAAAAACTTATGCTAAAAATAAGATTTTAAATAATTTATTAATATAGGTTATTATACTCTTTCAAAATATGTATATAGTCAACGTTGTGTTCAGAAAAAACAAGCTTAATCGTCTAGTTTAGATTTTTATGCAAGGCTTTGTATTATCTGGCAGGGATCCGTGCTTATTTAGATGAAATCTGATTAAATGAAACTCTTTAAGATGAATTTTGATTAAGTGAAATTTTAATTTAAGTAAAATCTTCTTTACAAGTACCTCACTGACATATAGTTTCAAATAAAGCATGGACTCCACACATGTCTTTTAACCAGAGATCCGAAGTACCAAAAGAACTCTGGTCTGGTCTGTAGTGTCCAGAAGCTCTAAACATGTTTGACATATAATTTGGTATCAGAAAAAATACGTGAGATTTAATGACTTGGAACTTATGTTTTAAGCCTGAAGTACTGGAGTCCCGGAGTCCTTTCCGTCATTATACCTAAGGACTCCGAGTTCAAAAAACAATTGTTCCTCTTACCTAAAAGTCTAAGTTTTTTTCTTATTAGTAATCCATATACTTGTTTATAATTTTAGAGCTCCTGTATAGTATACCAAAAATAGGAAAAAGTAATATTTTTGTGACTTTCAAACCTAGAGACCACACCTTTGGAATAAAATTGTTTTGCCCAATTTTGACTTCGAACTATCCATTACTTTTCGTTTTTTTAAAAGTAAATTAAAAACCCTAATTTTTTCATTAGATAACGTATTATGTTATTATTAATAATATGAATTAATAACTTTGCATTTTCTTATTTACATTTATAAAAAGTTTATTCTTACTTATTTTGTTGATTTTATATTTTTTACTTAACGTATACGTTTATATAAAATATTGGTGAGTAGATCCGCGTGATCTCTCTTTGGATTATATAATATAACCACCATAAAAACTTTTGTTATTTTTCTTTACATTCAGGGTGTATACAACAACTTCACAATGAATAGAAAATAAATATATTTTCAATAGCTAACTTACTAATCCTTTTTTAACAAGACCTTTCATATATCCATATTACCCTACTGGTGGAGTAATACTCATATTATATTTGATACATAAATCACAATTGTTACTTTTCATTAATTTAAAAGGTCAAACTGTATTGGTTATGATTAGCAGTTTTCTGTTTACTGATACAGTCTTCTTTTTAGTTTTATTCTTCTCTTTTTCTTGCAACCTTGCGACAACATCTTGAGCTGTTACAGTTTTACCCTTTTTGGCCAGAAGACTTTGATACATTGTATATGATACTTTGATACATTGACTCTCCTTCCTTAAAAAGCTGTATGGCAGTCATTAATTCGCTGTGATTGTACGTACCAAAAGTTTTGAATTGATATTTTACTTCAGGCATGATAATTTATTTCAGTCTTATTATTTTATCTTAAGTATTATAAAATTAACTTTAGTTATACAAAATTTAAAATTTCATTATAAAGTGAAATATCATAATAAAATAAATAAAATAAGGAATACAAAAATAAAATATAAAGTATTTAGATGGAAGTTAAAGTTTTACCCTAGCTATTCAGGGAAAACAAATTCGAACTATGATCTTAATGTAAGTAGTTCAGTAGCGTTATATAAAACTATTATATGTACCTGAAAAATGTTTAATATTATATTAAAAATTTTTAATGTTATATTAAAAAGCAAAAGTGAGCATAAGTATATAAATAAATGTCAAATCAAATTAATGCAGATTATGACTTTGTAACAAAATTCTTTAATGTTAAAAGGATTTTATATATTTTATATTTATCCATTTTACCCAACTATCATTTTACTTGTATATCCATTTTACCCATTTTAGATTTTTGTTTATTTATCAATATGGGTAAGAGAATTTATAAATCAAATTTTACATGTTGTTACATCATGTAAAAACATGTAAAATTTGTCTGCAGACAAAAGTTTTGAAACGTAATGTTTTTTGTATTTTTTTCAAAATAAAATGTTTTACATTTTAACTATTCGTGTAAATCAAATATAAACATTGTTAATGCATAAAAAATAGGAAGCTAATTTTGTTTATGAATTGTTGGTAATTTTCAGGTTTTAGAATTATGTATAGATAACTTACTCCATACATACTTATTGAATATATATAACCCCACCCAACCCTCTCTCTCTCTCTCTCTCTCTCTCTCTCTCTCTCTCTCTCTCTCTATATATATATATATATATATATATATATACATACATATATATATATACATACATACATATATATATATATATATATATATATATATATATATATATATATATATATATATATATATATATATATATATATATATATATATATATATATATATATATATATATATATATACATACATATATATATATATATATATATATATATATATATATATATATATATATATATATATATACATATATATATATATATATATATATATATATATATATATATATATATATATATATATATATATATATATATATATATTTATATATATATATATATATATACATATATAAAAATGTATATAGAAAGATAGATATATTGATAAATAGCTTGTGTGTCAAATGATAACTTTGAACATTAGTCTATATTAAAATATATTTTCAATACAGAATATAAAAATAACTGATATTGTCAGGCATGAATTAAATACACCACAAATGGCAGTATTTCAATCAAACGAAAAAATTCAAATAAAGTTCATTGATCTTCATGTTAGTGTCAATGAAAAAGAAATTCTCAAAGATGTTAGTGGTGAAATTAATCCAGGAGAAGTGATTGCTATTATGGGGCCATCTGGTATGTGTTTTATGTTTACAAACCTTTTTTTGAAAACTTTTTTATTTAAAACTTTTTTTCACATACAAAAGAAAACAAATTTATTAAATATGAACGTGCTTTAGGTGCTGGTAAATCCACTCTCCTTAATTTGCTAGCTAACAGGAAAACAAAAGGTGTTGTTTTAAATAGCGGTTCAATTTTAATAAACGGAGAAAAAAACTCCAAGTTCTATCGAAGAAAAATAGGATACGTAATGCAAGAGGATATCTTTTTTTCACACCTCACAGTTAGACAAACCTTAGAAGTAAGAAGATTTACATTTAATTTATCTTCATGGTTATGCACTAAATTTATTAAATACCTTGTTAATGATTTAGATTTAATCAAACTATAATAATGTATGTAATAAGGCTTGTTTCATAAATATATATATATATATATATATATATATATATATATATATATATATATATATATATATATATATATATATATATATATATATATATATATATATATATATATATATATATATATATATATATATATATATATATTTATATATATATATATATATATATATATATATATATATATATATATTATAAATAAATATAAGTTTGTTGATCAAAATTATTAAATTAGTTTGTAGGCAAAATCCGACTTCCTGATAGCATGAAATGGGATGAAAAACTTGCTGTTGTGGACAAAGTAATAGAAAATCTTGGTCTACGTAAATGCGAAAATACTGGTGATAATATTATATAATACATATCTAAATACGAAAACACTGGTGATAGTATTATAATAATATGTATTTTTTGCACTACTCTAGCTTTAAATTTATCTATTTAAAAATTGTATGACTTTATTTTTCAGTAATGGGCGGCAACTATTTCACGCGTGGTTGTTCAGGAGGTTGAGTATTTTATTTTTCACCTGTGGTTAATCTGGCAAGTAAAAATTTCGCATCTTGTTTTAAGCTGTTGAAGTGCGCGGTTAACTGTTCATTTTGATCTTAGGCATTCCTTAAAAAACTTAAGTTCCATAAAGTAATTAAAATTTAAATCCAATTTTACACCCAAGTACACAAATTCAGTTTTAAAACGAAAGTAGTCTAAGTTCAGTGGATTGAATAAATAAAATTAGATTTATTAACGGTTTTTTTTAATTGATTTTATAAAGTTACGGATATAAGGTAAAACTTAACTGCACATTTTAAAGGTAGCTTTTTTCTTTAAGAATATAATGTCATTATTTTTGACTGATATATATATATATATATTCAAATAAAAAAATAATTTCTTATTGAATTGATTTTCGATATATTTGATTAAAAAAAAAATATTATTGATTGGCTGCATTGCCAAACCCTCACTCCATCGGTAGTGCACCTTACCATATCCTAAATAACAAATTAAAACTTTTAATCTTTTTTTAAATTTTAGTGCCGTTTCCGTGGGAAATGATATATATATATATATATATATATATATATATATATATATATATATATATATATATATATATATATATATATATATATATATATATATATATATATATATATATATATATATATGATATATATATATATATATATATATATATATATATATAAATGATATATATATATATATATATATATATATATATACATATATATATATATATATATATATATATATATATATATATATATATATATATATATATATATATATATATATATATATATATATATATATATATATATATATATATATATATATATATATATATATATATATATATATATATATGTATCATTTTAAAAATCCGGAGAAAGCCAGACCCATAGTAACAGTATTTAGTTAAAGAGTCTCTTTATTGTTAAAAAATATTTTTTTAAATTGCGAAATTTTTATCTGTCTTGATTGTATGCATATGTGTACGAGCTAATGATAATGAATGCATATGTGTACGAGCTAATGATAATAGGATTAAGTTCTGTTGACCTTTTTAGAGCATTTTTAAGCGCAGCCGTCTCCATTTTTAGAAATATTTTGGATGGTAGTAACTCCTTTTCCTGGAAATCTTAGCTAGTACGTCTATGACCATACATGAAAAATAAATTTTTCCAAACGAGAGGCTCTAGTAATTAGCTTTTACTCCAATTATTGTTTAAGATTTCGACATACTGTATATGATAAGTGTTTTTATACTTTATTTTCTAGGCGAGGCAAAACGATGCAGCATTGCTGTTGAACTGATAACTAATCCGGCTTGCATAATTTTGGATGTTAGTTTCCCAACACTTAATTTTTTATATGCGCCATAATGCTGAAGCACCTGAGTGATAACTAAATACTTATATTTATACATCTTAAATACACCTACAAGATATATACAGACTGCGCTTACTTTAATTTTTTTACTTAATAGGAGCCGACTACTGGATTGGATTCATCCACAGCATTTAATCTAATGAACACTCTAAAAAATCTTGCTTTAAAGGAAAATCGTGCAATTTGTTTGACTATTCACCAACCTTCCAGTCAAGTGTTCCACATGTTTGACAAATTGCTGTTGCTGTGCAACGGAAGGGTTTGATTTTATTATTTTATGAAACAGCTACTATTTCATTTTAAAACTTTATTTATAGTTGATTGCATACAGTAGTTTATAAATAAACTAATTAAAATCAACATAATAAACTGTATAGACAATAAAAAACAAACAAAAACATTGTAAAATATCCATAAAAAATCAGTAACTTAAATAAAATATCATGCATATAAAATATTAAACAGAAAAAAATGACTTTTATAAATATCATAAAAAGTAAAAATAACATAGCAAATACCGTAAAAAGAACAAATGAATTTATAAATTCGTGATATTGACATGATTAGTAATAATAATCCAATAATTTAAGTTTTACAAATTCAACAAAAACATTTTTCCCCCATTCCAGTGTAAAATATTACTTTTGAACACCTGGAGACTTTTTGAGCAGATGGTTTTATTGTGAAGGGAATTCCAAAGCAAGGTGGCACTATATAAGACATTATTTGTATTTTTTTGATTAGAGCCTTTGGGCAGTAGCATCAATTTATGGCAAAATCTAAGTTGAAATGGTAAAGTTTTCTTTATAAATAAGCTCTTAATAAATTCAGGGTTTAAACCATTAAGGGATTTAAAAACTTCAATCATTAAAAAATGCAATTTTCGAAGATGGATTCTTGAGTTATTATCTAACTTTAACATTTCATCAAAAGACAAATTAAATCTTTTATGGATTATGTGGAGTACTTTTTTATGAACTTTATTAATAAGGTTGTCATTGTATTTTGAATAAAACATCCAAATCAAAGGGCAGTATGAAAAATTTGATAAAATATAAGCGTTAAACAATAGAGTTGTTTGTTTATAAGATAGAAAACTTCTTATTTGAGAAAGGGTAAAGCACTTACTATTAGCTTTTCCGCATAAAGCTTTAATGTGATCACCAAACTTTAAATCCTGATCAATTGTAACCCCAATTAGTTTAACTTTATCCGAAGCAAAAAATCTTGTCGTCGCCAACTATTATAAATTGGCTGTTTGAATGTTTTTGACCAACAAAAAGAAATTGAAATTTTTTGAAATTTACGATCATATAGTTAAAATTAAACCATTCAATGGTACTAAATAGTTAGCTTTTATTTTTGAATTTTTTGATGTTGAAACTTTTAGGGTTCTTATACTATTAAAATATAGTAAAATTTATAACAAATAACTTGTGGCTATTTCAGTTAAACTAACCTTCTGACTTATTTGGTATTCTTGATATTGTAACCCAAGGGTAAAAGAAGTAGTTTTAAACCTTTTTTTAAATAATCAATATTAAATTTATATACATATATGTGTGTGTGTATATATATATATATATATATATATATATATATATATATATATATATATATATATATATATATACATATACATATACATATACATATATATATATATATACATACATATATACATATATATATATATATATATATATATATATATATATATATATATATATATATATATATATATATATATATATATATATATATATATATATATATATATATATATATATATATATATATATATATATATATATATATATATATATATATATATATATATATATATATATATATATATATATATATATATATACACATATATAAATTTAAGATCTTTAATTAGAAAAAAATTGCTGAGAAACTAAATCATTTTTTTATAAACATTAGGAAAAAATTAGACAGTGAAATCTCTCCAAGTAACAAATCATTCCAATCTTCTTTGAAAAAAATCTGATTTTGTACTGGACGATTCAGAACTTTCCATTGATAAGCATCGTTTAACTTTTAACACGCTTCAAATAAATAAAAGTGCTCGTTTTAATAATGTTAGTGCAAATGTTTTGAAAGTAGACTTTGATATTAAAGAATCACTATATATAGACCAATCTCAATACTTTTCTCTTTTTCGAAGCTTCTTGAGCTTGCAGTGTACAATAGAGTATACAATTACCTAAAAAAATATCATAAGTAATTTGATTTTAGAAAAATTACTGCACTGAGTATGCTGATTCGGCTAACAGTAATTTGAAAGATTTGATAACAACATCTATACTCTGGGTTTTTATGTTGATTTATCAAAGGCATTAAATACTGTCAATCATAAAGTCCTTTTCTATAAATTGCAAAACTACGAAATTTTGAATTCGAATTTATAATGACTTCATTCTTATATTAAGCATTATTAAACAATGTGTTATGACTTAACTAGTACAAAGTTAGAAATTATTAGTTAACTAAACTTTATTCTTTTTGCGGATGATACTTATATTTACTTTTCTGGTAATAATTTAAAATTCGTTTTTTTTTTCTGTTAACACAAATAATAAATCTCAACGTTTGATTTAAAGCTAATAAACTTTCTTTAATAAAAATAAAAAAAATACATTATGTCCGCAAAACATTCAAAATCTGATGTCTTACTAGGGCCGATGACAAGGGGAGGCCAGGGGTACGTGCCTCCACATTTTTTAAAAAGACCTTTTTTAAAAAAAAAAAGTTCTAGATTTAAAAGACTTTTTTTTAAGAATTGACGATTGTGCCCCCTCCCCCTCCCCCGCCCTCCCTCCTCCAATTTTGAAACCCGTGTCGTTCATCTGGAGATCAAGTAAACACTTGTCTTCATTAAAAAAAATTTATCGCAAAAAAACAAACAAACGAGTCGGATAATTTTTAATGCAGATAGATACGCACAAGGCTTTACTAAAAGAAATTAATGCTTTAAATGTATACAAACTAAACATTTATCAAAATTTATTGTTTATGTTTAAACATGCTTTTATCTTATTTTCGGCCATATTTCTCTTAATTAATCGCAGGTACTTAATAAGACATTCCATTCACAATTTTTACATTGCGTCAACATCACAAAAAGTCAGACTACTCAATTAATTGTCGGTCCGCGTCTGTAACACTTGATCCTAAATAATAACAAAAAAAGTTTATAACCAAAATTAAAACATTTAAAAAAACAGCGAAACAAAATTTATTAAATCTAATCAATAAAAACATTTTTTTTGTATTTTAAACTCGTTTTTATGTTTTTATTCATGAATGTTAAACTCTTGAACATTTTAGAACCAAATTTATACTAATATATTTTATTTTAAATTTAAACGTATATTTGTCGCTATCAAAAGAGCAAGATGAAAAAATGTATTTTCTTCTGCTCTTTGACACAAATAATTTTATCTTTACAAGAACGTTGTAAAATTGTTTGATCATTAAAGAACATTGTAAAATTGTTTGATTATTGACGAAGTATATTGAATTGAAAATTTACAAGAGCATTGGAAAATTATTTGATCATTGACGAAGTATATTGAATTGAAAAATTAAATTGAATATACTTTATACCCTACGGACATATATTATTGATTCCTTTTTAAAAGTTACGTTCTAAATGTCTTTTTAACGTTTTTTGAACGTCTTTTAAACGTTCTTTACGAAAAAAAAAGAACAAATGAATTTATAAATTCGTGAAAATGACATGATTAGTAACAATAACCCAATAATTTAAGTTTTACAAATTCAACAAAAACATTTTCTCTCCATTCCAATGTAAAATATTACTTTTGAACACCTGGAGACTTTTTGAGCAGATGATTTTATTGTGAAGGGAATTCCAGAGCAAGGTGGCACTATATAAGACATTATTTGTATTTTTTTGATTAGAGCCTTTGGGCAGTTGCATCAATTTATGGCAAAATCTAAGTTGAAATGGTAAAGTTTTCTTTATAAATAAGCTCTTATTAATTCAGGAAAGTTTAGAAAACGTTTAAAAGATATTTAAAATACATTTAAAACGTAACTTTTGAAAAACAAATGCCCGCTGGGTAGGTAAAAATTTATACTTTTTTGAGCGTATGTAATTGAAAAAAAAATTATCTAATAAACCAGAAAAAAAAAAGATGTTGAAAATCCCCCCTATTCCTTTTTATCTATTCTGTTGCATGGGTTAGTGATTATAGGCAGAAAAAAAATGTAAACAAATTTATTTCATTGATCAAAGTTCGAATTATTCTTTCATCGGGAATGTTTTTTTTATAAGTAATAATATTTTTTTTTTTTTTTTTAAATAATAATTGATAATAAACACACTGGCCCTCAACAAGTTCAAGATCGATAAAAATGTCAACGAAAACTGTTTACAGATCCTTTTAGAGCTTTTTATGTTGATCACAAATCTCTTGAAATTAAAATCTTAGCTGCTCGTCCATGATTTTTAACTAACTTAAAATTTAGTCATTATTTCAAAACATATTTTTTCATCTGGCATATGGTAATAGAAAAAACTTTGAGTTATAAAGATGTTATTAGTTATAAATTACTTCAACTATCTGCAATATTTTTAAAAGTCTATAATACAATATTTTAAAAATCTACATAACGCAATAAAACCACGCCTTTGTATAACTTAAATTCATTTAGAGCAGTTGCTAAGTGAATTAGAATCAAAAGAAGTTACAAATTGTTTTAATCAATATTTTCAATAATAATGTTAAAAAAAAACTTTAAACAAATAAAACTAAAATAAATAGAAAAATAAAAGTGTTATAAATGTCTAGAAATTAATTCCATGACAGCTTTCATCAACCGCTCCCCATACGACATATCGGTGATTATATTAATTTGATATCGTGACCAATACTTCAAAAATTCCCTATGGATTGACTCTCCGGCTTGTTCAGATACAAATCCTAGTCCATAATCTGATTTTAGTTCACAAAGGCATTAGTCAATGTGTTTAAGAACTACGTGCATTTTTAAAGTTTAAGATAAATCTGTTGCCTGAAACATTGTTTTAAAGCTTGCAGGTAATGAGATAAGTTGTGAGAAACCTTTCCAGTTCCAAAATAACATTTGACAACATTGTTTATTGCTTTAAACAATGAGACTAAAGGCAACAAAAATAATGGGCTAACTTTATTGAGGAATCAGCTTCAAGAAGTTTATCTGCATGTTGAAGTAGCTAATGACATGCATTGCCTTCAAAAACCTCATCCTAAACAAAAAATACGAACTAATTAATTTTAATATAAATTAGTAAAAACTGTCTATAAATTTTTTTATCAAATTATCTTTTTATCAAAAAATCTGCTTAATTTAGGTAATGGCCTCCGTCAGCCATTACCTAAATTAAGCAGATTTACTTCTGAAAATTTATTACTTATTACAAATTAAATTTGAATGTAAATATAAAACACAATGATATCTTAATGTATACTTTTTCATTAATCTCTCTAGCTATCATCACGGCATCTACAATATCTTGTGAATCTGCCCAACAAATTTTTTTCTTTGCTTTCTCTTTAGATTCACCTTCTACATCAAAAATATCTTGTGTAACCTAATATAACTTTTCAAAGATTTAGGTTTTTCTGATACCTGCTCTCAGTGATAGACAGGAACAATCTTTTTACTTATGTTGGATCTAATAAAATTAGTAAATTTCTCTATCACATTTGAAGATACTCCAGTATTTACCTGAAAGTTATTCAAGCCTTTGCTTGAAAAATTGACTTTTTTGGTTATATCAGGTTTTAAAACGATTTGTGATTTGTATCTGCCTTTTGAATAAAGTTCTAGGCAGATTTTTTTTTACTTGAATCTTTTTGATTATCTGCCTTTTTAAGGAATTGATTTATTAACTAATCTTTATCTTTTTCTAGTAAGGTTTTGTTTAAAAATTTTTAAATATTTTCTGCTAATTTTGTTTGCATGCAACAATGGGACAATGAACTTGCACCTTCATTACCTATAAATTTTGAATAGAAATATCACTCTCTTTGTTTATTATTATATGTATATATAAATTTTGTCTAAGTTTATAATATTTACCGGAACAAAATTTTAAAGAAACCTTCCGAATTCCGGCAACAGCAAGTAAACCACTTGGTCTTCAGTAATATTAGAAGTCAATCTTTTCTCAGAGCATCAATAAGTGGACAAATATGAACTGCTGCCTTCTTTTTGGCCAACTGTTGAATAAGATCAACACTCTTGAGAAGCTTGCGGCAATCATTGCCAATGAAATTACCTCCATGGTAAGGCTGAAGATTAATATGAAAAGCAGTTGCCCACTCATCAGTTGGAGGCCAGACTGTTTTGAGATTTTTGTAGAGGTGGTTAACAACTCCAAGCAAAAGACGAAGCTCCATGGGAGGGATAATTTCCAAAACCAGACTATTGTCATCTGCATGAAGAATAGGGTAATGGGTGACATTCCCATATTTCTTGGCATTTTTTACATCACTGCCAGCAAAAGCAAATGCTTGAAAAGAGGCTTTGAGGGAACCAAAGGTTCGTAACTCTCCACATTTAGCAAGGTTAGTTGAAGGAGCTGTGCACTACGTGCATGGATGCATGGAAGCGTGAGAATGAAGACAACATAGAATATTGGCAACTTTCAAGTCACAAGATACCACAAAATTCTTTGAGTCAGCTTTGATTAAGGAGAAAAAATTCTTGAGGTTAAAATAGTTTTCAGACATTCCTTCAGAGACTTGAGTCGTTTACTTGGTGGAGAACGAACTTTGCTGTGCTGTAATGTTTCTACAACCCCAAGAGAAAATTGTAGAAATCCAGCTCCCCCATCTATTCCAAGCTTGACAATGTGATCAGAAAATATTTTTCTTTCTAAAAGGATGTGCTCCAGCAGTCCAGAAAAATCTTTACAGTGAATAATTGTTGCCATTTCGACTTTTGACTCTTTCTCTTGCATGACTTCTAGCTTTGAATATGTGAAAACTTGCAAGATTGGTTCCTATTTCAAGAAACTTAGAGTCAATGTATGGTTCAGTGACTTTACCCTGTGATACTTGATTAAGAGTTGATGCTAGCTTTCGTATGCCATTGTTGGACATTCCTGTATTGATCTGAATTTGGGCAAGATCTTGTGCTGTCACTTTTGTAGGGGCCTCAAACAACCGCCAAGAGCTTGAAGAACCTGTCAGACTATAAATATATAAATAAGTACATCGTGTTTAGATTTAAAAATAAATTTATGAGCATAGCAAAAATCTACCAGGTGTCATTGCTAACGGTCGTCCACCTTGAGCTTGATTTAGGCGAATTGTTCCATGTGGTGAAGCCTCTTTTTGACTGATAACAATAGCAGCTATTTGATCAGAGATTTTTCTATCTTGAGCTGCAAGCAACCTCATGTTTCCCCGAAATGTGAATTTATTGCAAGGATGGGACATACCTTTGCCAAGAACTGCAAAACGTTTGGAGCTTCTATGGTCACCCTTCTCGTTTTCAGTCTTCTGCCAATTTTCCAAAGGATGCCTTTGATTGAGCTTGAGTTGACCAATTTGACAGATGAGGCATTGGCAAGCTTGCTCTTTTGTGGAATTCTTGGGATAAATTTCTTGAAAATTAAATGGCAGTGGTATGCCTACTTCTTTGTCTTCATCTTTTCTTCTCATTGCTGAACGGCATCCTTCATAAATTCCTTTTGGAACTCTTATGTCTTGAAAATCAACATCTTTTTGGAGAACTGTCTTCACTTTTTCAATTATTAAAGGTATTACCTCTCGTTTTGCCTTGTGCATGCAAAGAAAACAGACAGTTTTTTGGTTTTCTTCATGTGATTTTGCAAAAGTGAGCATTTTTATTACGGCAGTTGAAAATTATGCTAATCATGTATTTTTTGTAAAGAAATAAATTGTGCATTTTCCCGAAAAATTTACTTAAAAAATGGGAATTTATAGTGAGTGTACCGTGATCGTCACATACAAAAGGACACCAGTCAGTAATACAATTATACACGCTGTATAAATGTCAAAAGCTGTCATTTACTCTATTGCTGTTTATAGTAATACATTTAAATTTTGAATTATTTTCTTGGATATATTGTTTTGATTTCAACTTTTACATTTTTGTGATCACAAAGTCAAGGGCTTTCGAACCCCACACCTTGTTTCTCTGGGTCAGCTAAAGAGGTTAATACGAATTTTTGAGAGGACTGTATCTTACTATTTTTCACAAAAAAAGAGAAAATTATTTTGATTTTTTGCTTTTAGTTCATTTTCCTAGGAAAATATCACTTGGAAAAAATCCCCCGGTAAATATCCCCCCCTTCCTCAAAAAAACCCCCGCAAAAAATTTTTTAATACTTTTTTAAATTTGATATACTCTCTGTACAAAAACCCGCCGACAATGTAGCGGTACTCTTAGCATGTTTACCTATTTGTGAGTCGGTTTATGAATATAAAAGAATTAAGGTTTTGCTTGTAACTTAATATGTATGTATAAAATAATATAAACAACTATTATATTGATATATCGTTTATTTTATGCGCAGTAAAAAAAATCCTTGGAGATATTTTCCGGGAGAATTTTTCTCCGAGGGATTTTTTTACTGGGGATTATTTTGGGTAAATTTTTCTGGTGAGTTTTTTCCCGAAGGATTTTTTCCTGCTACCCATTTTTAACAAATCACAACTATTTTGGAACAAATTTTTCCTTAAAAATAAAAATTTAAAAAAAAAAGAATGGTGTGTGGTAGTAAATGATATTAGAAAAACATCTAAATTATATATATATATATATATATATATATATATATATATATATATATATATATATATATATATATATATATATATATATATATATATATATATATATATATATATATATAAAGCTTTAACAATACAATTTATTGCATATAATTTTTTACATTGAATGCAAATCAGAACAGTATTTTGGAACAGAGGAAATTTGGAACAGACCATTTTTTTTATTTTCTAGTTATTTTCAGGCTTAAATTATTAGCTTCATTTTTTTAAATTTAGAAAATTAGATTTTGTTTATTTTCTAGTTATTTTTTTAATTTTTTAAACTATTAGCGCTATTAACTTATTAAACGACTTATTATCTTGAAATAGGTTATGTTTTTTGGGAAAAACAGTCACGTTTTACCTTTTTTTGAATCTATTGGAATGCCAGTGCACTCTCATTGGAATCCTGCTGATTTTTTTAGTAAGCAATGCTTTTACCTTTCAACACACAAAAAAACTCTCGTCCACACATAGACAAACTCACACAAACGCGCACGCTTATCCGCACATACACAGACACGCACGCATGTATACAGACACACACACACACACACACACACACACAATAATGTTTAAAAAAGAGTTTTTTTATTAGTTGAGAAACTAAAGAAGACAGAAATTCACGAGAAAGTTGCTGAAGGATTTAAAGCATTTCAGTAATTTAATTATATTTACTCTTTTTAATGGTTTTTGATTTTGATATAACCAGTAATTGTAGTTATTAGATAAAAAAGTTTAAGTTTTTTAAAAAAGTAATAAAGTGTTTTGAGAATAATCATTTAAATTTTGGTTTATTTAAAATTTAAAATTACTGATACTTATTTCAGTTAATTAGAGTTAAAAAACTTAAAATCTATACTAATTAGGGTTGCCATTCTCCTCTATTTTAGCAAGACGCATTAAAAATTTTAAATTTAATTAATTGAGCGCCGCGCTCTTGTACGTAAAAAAACGGAAATAACTTTATAGTGTAATAAAAGTTTAACAATATATTTTAGTAATTATAAGTAGAAATTATAGTTAGGAAAATTGGGAATGAAAGTGAGAGTGATTAATGATGTTAGCTACTGTTAGTGTCTGAGTCACATTATTTCGACAACTTGTCGATAACGGCTAACATATACTGTGTTAAAATATGTGACAAAAATCGAAGTTATTTTCCTTTGAATAATCCCAAAACTAAGCAAAAGTTATCTTTTTTTTTTATAAATTTTTTGAAACAAATAAAATGTGAAATTTATTATTTTTAGACTTAAAAGTGATACAAAATAGGTTAGTGAAGATTTTTTACCTTGAATAAAAGCTGCTCAATTTCAAACTCATTTAATAAAAAAATAGCTGAAAAATTGATAAAAGTTACTTAAAAAAGTAACTAAAAAAAAAACAACGTATCTAATTAGGTTTCTTTACGAAAAAACAATTATAGTTATTTAAGTTTTGAGAACCATAAAAATGATGAAAGCATACTTTAATTATGGTTGTCAATGATGAAGTAGAAAACAAATCAGTAATACAAGGAAAATTATTGTATTGAAAAAACGGTTTTCTAGCAGTCAGGAGATAATTTCATGACATCAAAAAAATATTCAAAAACCACTAAACTATATATAAATTTATAAAACTATATGTAAAACCATATAAAAATATATAAAAAAAACAGAGTCTATTTGAAGTTTGGGAGATGTCAACTTACATACAGCGAAATAAATCTATTTATCCGCCTAAACTTTTTAGGCTTTTTGTTTCAAAGGCGGATAAATAGAGATTATTAATTATCTACTTAATTACAGTTCAGTTAAACACACTTTTTTAGATGATATAAAGAAATTTTGCAACACTCATAGACTGAATATGAAAGCCTTAATGCTGGGTAAAAAAAAAGTAAAAATTAGAGATTCAGAAAATATTTGAAGACTCGCTTCAAATTTTGATTCAGACAGTTCAATGTTAGATTACGAAACAACAGCAAACAATTTTCACAATTACTCTTGAAGAAAACATTACTAAATGATTTTTTATTTTATTTTTTTCTTCCTTATTCTTGCCTAAATTTGAACCTTTTTTTGTTTATTCCTATTTTTACTTAGTAAACATATTTAGAGAGGGCGATTAATAAAATAACAACCAATAAACTTTACTTCTATTTCAAATGTTTTTGTATTTTCTATATTTTTAAAATTATTATTTTAGGAAGACAATTTTGAGATATAAGTATTTGGAAACTTAAGTATACTCAAGTTTCCAAATACATTTTTTTCCAAATACATTTTTTAAATACATTGTTTTAAATACATTTAAAACAAAAATACTTTCATATAGACGGGATATGCTACTTGACATATTAGCGTTTTTAATTTCCTCTGAAATTTTTTAAATAAGAAATAATTAAAAAAGATATAATCGAAAAATAAAATTTTCTTCGTACACCTATGTCTGGTATTAATTTACCTTTGTTTTATTTAAATGTTATATTCCTTAAATTTTATATTAAGGAAAAACATAGTTGAAGAAGAACAATGTAGCAATGCAATAAGTGAAAGCAAAACAAAAAGTCCAGATGACATCTCATTTTCATATGATAACATTGCTTATGAAGAGCATAAAGCTGTGGTAAACAATGATAGTCGAACTAGTTACGAAATTACTTCTGAAAAAAACGAAAAAAATGAGGTTTTTTTTATAAGTTTTTATTAAATAAATTCAATTTCATTACCTTTTTTTACATTTTTTAAATGATTTTCGTCAAATATAGATGACTTTATAAATAATTATTGATAAAATATAGAATAATTGTATAAATAAATTAATTTTCAATAGAACGGGTCTATCTTTAAAGTACATACTAATAAATGGCCTACGTCATACAGGACCCAAGTAACTGCATTGTGGAAACGAACTTTTATTCAGACAAAAGGAGATGTTTTTAATGCAGTAAATATAACCCAGGTTTGTTTAAGGTTTATTTATGTATTTTTAAATGTTGATATATTTTAACAATAAAAAGTAAAATTTTTATTTTATTCCAGAACTAAAAACTTATGAGAAGATTTCTAAATTTCACTAGCCTAACTTTCTGTTGGGTTATTTTTCATATTAAATCGAGAGTTTTGCTGTGCTTAAATCAAAAATTGCGTTGTGCTAACGTAGCATTATAGTTAACATTGCATTGGCATATGAGTAGCGTTGCGTTGGGCTTTAATTATAGTTAATACTTCACAACTCTTACATTGAAAGAAATATTTTAAAAGAAAGTACACAAATATTGAAGTTTATAAAATTTCACTAGTAAAAAGTAAAAAACATCAGCAAAAATTTTTTATTTATTTTTAAATTCAGTAATTTTTACCTTTTTTGTTTTGTTATAGATGTTTTCAATTCTTGTGTTATTTTGTTGTAGATATTTATAATTCTTGTGTGGTTTTGTTGTAGATATTTGTAACTCTTGCGTTGTTTTGTGGTAGATATTTGTAATTCTTATGTTGTTTTGTTGTAGATATATGTAATTCTTGCGTTGATTTGTTGTAGATATTTGTAAATCTCGTGTTATTTTGTTGAAGATATTTGTAATTCTTATGTTGTTTGTCGTAGATATTTATAATTCTTATGTTGTTTGTTGCAGATATTTGTAATTCTTGTGTTGTTTGTCGTAGATATTTGTAATTCTTGTGTTGTTTGTTGTAGATATTTGTAATTCTTGGGTTGTTTTATTGTAGACATTGGTAATTGTCATGTTGTTTTTAGTAAAAACATGTTTATTTGATTGTATTTTTTTTTATATGTTCCTTGTTTGCACTATTGTTTTATTTTCGTTTTTGTTTTTTTTATGTTTTGTTGTTATTATTGATATTAATAAAAATAAGAGAAAGTGCAGCATGTTTGGAATACCAGTTTGTTTTTAATAAGTTAGTTCATTAAAAAAACACTAAATTATGCAAAAATTATATCATTTTATTAATATAAAAAATCTACTAAAAAAAAAATTAGAAACCTTATCAAAATTTCTATCGAAACAAAAATCTCCAAAAATAATCTCCAAAAACAAAAATCTCCAAAAGTATGATTTTACTTGATTTGCAGGTAATTAGAAATATTGTATTCAAGTTGTGTTTATCTTTTTTTTATTGACATTCATAAGTAAATTAAAATCAAAATGCAATCATATATCAAAAAAGTTTTAAAATATGAATAAATATTAATAAAGGATTACATTCTTACCGAAAGAGTTTTCAAAATTGATTTTTCGTTAACTTGTGGCTGTCAGCAAAAGTATCTAGATAGCGCATTGTTTTTATTAATCATTTACTTTATATGCTAGTTATTAATTATTTACTTCATGTACTTTGACCTTGTGTTTTCTATATAACAACCAAATGACGTTTATATTAATTGAGATATTCGAGTATTCCAAAATTACCTGCGGTATTACAAATATGCTGCACCTTATTAATCAGTATTACTATTTTTATTATTGTTATTATTTTTTTTATCACTATTTTTGTGATTATTATTATTAGTAAAATTATCAATGTTAATATTATTATTACTAACACCGATATCGCTAGGTGTTTACTTAATGTTAGTTAATTGCACTATTTATAAACAACTTTGAAATGTAGAAAATTTATAAATATATTGGTTGGTTGATTATCAAATTGGTGGTCTTCATGTTGCAGCATTGTTTATTATAGTATAATCTATATTTAAATATATTTGTGCAAGTATTTTGTTAAATATTTTTAGGCTTTTTTGGTTTCAATAGTTTCTGGACTTATATGGTTTCAAACACCCTATGATGAAAGTTCACTACGTGATCGCGAGGGAGCGGTATACAATTTTGTTAAATTGCTTTATAAGCGGCTTGTTTAATTACGAGGTATTACGTCCAGTTGTTAGTTTTGTCTTTGTTATACTTTTAGATTTTCTATATAATGGGTTTCTTGTTTATTGAGTTAATATTTGACACGGTATTTACATGTAAGTTTTAAAATTTTTTTAATAATTTGATTGATAAAAATATATTCACTGATGTGGCAAGTACTTATACTGCAAGTAGCAAGTACTTAAGTGTTAATTATTAAATAAATAAGTAAGCAAGTACTTAAAAGTACTATAAATACTTTCCACATTATTATTATAATTACATATTATAAGTATAATAACTTATTTTAATTAAAAAGTTATAGATTAATTAATAATTACAGAACAATTATAAACACATATAATTATATACACTGATGTACAATTATATACACTGATATACAATTATGTACACATATATATACACATATTATGCTCTTGTTATATTACTAAATATTTATTCAGGTCAAATATTCTTTTTATACTGGAGACCAATAAAAATTCTAAATGAAAATTTAATCCAATCTAAAATGAACAAACTACGGATGCACTGTTACAAAAATAAAGCATAATTAAAGCTGTAACACAAGCTCAATGTTATGTATCAAAACATCATTTAGAATTAACAAAAGAGTAAGCCCTTATGTCACCTAGCTATTATTCTCAAAATTAGGTCCATAATTTCTAATAATATAAATTTATAATTTAATACATGATTAGTAAAAAATATATATAATATATTTTATTGATAAATTTATTTTATAAATGCTCTAAAGTTTTGTAGTCTTGTATTGCTCACATTTAGATTTATTGAAAGATATAAAATGAGCTTTTAATTGTTATACCTAATTTATTTTAGAGAAATTTGTAAAAAGATAAAGTAAATTCAATGCAGTATTTAAAGTATTATTAAGAGTATTATTTTCTCTAGAGATTTTTAAAGGTTATTATACAAAATGATCATTTTAAAAAACAATTGTATAGATCTAAATTATAGATTCAATCACTTGGCTTACACTCTTTGCATTCGAAAACTGTTGTATTCATCAGGGTCCGAAAAGTTCTTGTAAAATGTGTTCTATCTAATACAAAAACACTAAGTTTAAATTTTTTTTCAATAAAAAATAATTTAAAGGGTCCCTCAAAACCCTCGAATATTTAATGGGCCCCTAATATTTCCAAAAAAAAAGTTTTTAAAAATTATGTCAACCTGGTACTCAAATAAACCGAAATTATATAAAAATTTCAAAAATAATGATCATTTCGGAAAAAACGATACGTACTTAAACGATATATATATATATATTTTTAACGAAATCGGCGATTTTTTTACAGAAAATTGTTTTTTGTTTTGGCAAATATTGTATATTTTAAGGGAAATATTGTTACGTATCGTTTTTTCCGAAATGAACATTATTTTTAAAATTTTTATATAATTTCGGTTCATTTGAGTACCAGGTTGACATAATTTTTAAAAACTTTTTTTTTGAAAATATTAGGGACCCATTAAATATTCGAGGGTCTTGAGGGACCTTTTAAATTATTTTTTATTGAAAAAAAATTTAAACTTAGGGTTTTTGTATTAGATAGAACACATTTAGGGGGTGAGAGCAGATTATTTTTAAAAAAGTTGTTTTTTGGGACACCCTAATATATAGGCGCGGATACAGCATTTTTTAATGTTTGAGATACATAATTTCCAGACATGGAGCAAACTCCAAAAATTTATATGTTTATACTTATATGAAATAAAGATGCTTTGCAAAAACTTGCGATGATTGGAACCTGGGAACAAAAAGTCCGAAAATTTTAGCTACACTTGCCCCAAACGTGAGAGCAACAAGTTAATAAAATATTTTTTCTATTATTCTCAACTAAGTATATATTCATCGATAAATTTTAAAACTCACACAATAATCTCTTGGCATTCAACAATTATGGCCTTATAAAATTTGCAGCCTCCTCAAACTGAGGGTTCATAGTTTTTGAATGGCAAAAGATTATTGTGTGAATTTTAAAATTTACTGGATATAGATTTAGTTAAGAATAGTATAAAAATTATTTTATCACTTTGTTGCTCTCACGTTTGGGGCAGGTGTAGCTAAAATTTTAGGGCTTTTTTGTTCCCAGGCTCCAATCAGTGCAACATTTTGCAAACTATTGTTATTTAATAAAAGTATAAACATATAAAATTTTTGAGTTTGCTCTATGTCTGGAAGTTTGGTATCTCAAACATCAATACACGCTGCATCCGCGCCTGATATATATGTGTATATATATATATATATAAATATATATATATATTTATATATATATATATATATATATATATATATATATATATATATATATATATATATATATATATATATATATATATATATATATATAATATATAATTATATAAATATATATATATATGTGTATATATATATATATGTGTATATATATATATATATATATATATATATATATATATATATATATATATATATATATATATATATATATATATATATATATATATATATATATATTATATATATATATAGTTTCGGACAAAACAAGTGCAACCAAATAATGCTAATTCATTTTCTTTATATAAAATTGGTGCATTTTTTCAATTTAGAAAAACAACTATGCAACTGTTTAGAGACAACGGTCTTCAAGTTTTATTCATCACAATGTTAATTATTTGTACACGAAAATTAATAAATTAATCAAAAGTATTTAGAAAAGTTGATTTCCTTCTAGACAAAACAAGTGCAACTCCACAAAATGTTGACCAAGCTGTATTTCGCTTTCAATATTTCGTGGCGAATCCTTTGTTTTCGATCTCAGCCTTGCATCTTCGAGGCATAGAGTCGATTAGGTGATCAATGAAACTTTGTGGAATCGCTGCCCAGACCTTTTGGATTTGTTCAAACAGTTGATCCTTGTTACGAACACCTTCACGATTAATTCTGCAGTTGATGATCTCCCACAGGTTCTCGATAGGGTTGAGATCCGGAGATTGAGGCGGCCAATCCATCACCGATAGGTGGCTGCCTCCACCATGCTTCACGGTCTTATGGCAGTAAGTTAAATGGAGGCGTTTTCCGGCCGGTCGACGTACACGGCAAATGCCATCGCTCCCAATGATGTTGAACTTCGATTCATCACTGAACAGGACAAAGCGCCATTTCTGCACATTTCAGTCAATATGAGATGCAGCAAACAGGAGTCTTTTCTTCTGGTTCTTTAGTAATATCAGCGGTTTCTTTGTATCTTTGGCGTCGAGAAAACAATCTGGCTTCAAAAGCACGTCGTTTGATTGTTCGGTCCGATACAGGCAGCTCTAATTGCTTTTGTATCTCAACTGATGATATCTAGGGATCCTTCTTGACAGATCTGAAAATCATAGAATCCTATCTAGAAGTGGTGGAATGCGGTCTTCCACCTTTGTTATCTGCTGCCAACTTCCCCGTAGAACGATATTTGGAACATAGTCTTGATACGGTCCATTTTTTCATGCGATATTTATCACAAATACTTTTTTGTGACATTCCACTTACGTAATCGCCAATAATATTCTTTTTTAGTTCCAACCCAAGACTGTCGGGAGCAATTTTTGCACTTGGATGCTTCTGAATGTTTCTGATTGCTTCCAGATGCTTTTTCTGGAAACTTCTGGATACTTCCTTTAATTATTAAAAAACTTCCGTGACGTTGACACGGACCAGACTTAAGATAATGAAACAAACCAAAAAAGTTGCACTTTTTTTGTCTGCTGCAAAATGGCACTTATCAACGAAATTCTGCCTGTGTGCTGTCACCTGTCAGCTGATTGCTCATGTCATGGTATGTTTTGACTCCAGTCTCTTGAACTGTTTGCTGTGGTGGTATTGTTCGTTTCATTTTTAAGACATGTAAAAATAGGAACACTTTTTAAAATTGTGCAATATTGGTTGCAAATGTTTTGTCCAATACTGTATATATATATACATATATATATATATATATATATATATATATATATATATATATATATATATATATATATATATATATATATATATATATATATATATATATATATATATATACGTGTATTCATGTTAATAATACTACTGATATTGTTTTATTATGTTAGTTCCTTCGGAAGATAAAGTTATTGAAAAAGAAAGAGCTGCAGGAATGTACCGTTTATCTGCGTTTTACACTGTAAAAAATATAGTTGATTTGTCGGTTTTAATCATACCTCAATCTTTAATATACACAATATCATACTGGATGATTGGATTAAATCGTTCTTCAGTATTCCTTTTAGGCTTAGTTAATGTGTTTTTATTAACAGCTGTTTCACAGGTATTATTTATTAAATTTTCAAATTATCGAAAACAAAACTCAAGGGATTTATTCTTTTTAAAAGTTTGTTTTTATTCTTATAGTCTGTAGGCTTAATTATTGGTGGCAGCATTAAAAGTCTGAAAACATCCAATATAGTAACAATTTTGTTCTGTTATACAAACATGATGTTAGGAGGTTTCTATACAAAAAGAATGCCAACATGGTTTTCGTGGGGCCGATATCTTTCAGTTTATGCGTATTTTTACAATATTTTTGTTAGAATGGAGTTTGAATACGCAAAGGAAAATTTCCAGTAATTTTTTTTTTATTTTAATAAATATATATACAAATAATTATAAATGTATTCTACAAAATAAAGTGCTCAATATTCTTAAAAGAACTAAAAGAATAATAAATTATAGAAAATCACTTATCAAACTTTTTTCATTTTACACTTCATCAAATAAGACTCATCAGAAATGAATGTTTAAATTAATAAAGTTCAAAGTTATAAATATCTTAGCAACTGAAAATAATAACTGTAAATAAAACTTCAATTTATACCAACACTCAAATTAGAGAAAACCATAACCCAGAAAACACACAAACGTCTATTAAACGTCAAAACAACGTTTCGACAAATGTTCAGATTTGGTTGATTATCCGTTTAACATTTAGAACAAACGTCTATTAAACGTTTGTATATAAACGTATTTTCGACGTCTATTATAGGATTATTATACGTCTATTATAGGATTATTATATATATATATATATATATATATATATATATATATATATATATATATATATATATATATATATATATATATATATATATATATATATATATATATATATATATATATATAAAGTGTTTAGATTTTGTCTAGTTTACGTTTAAATCTAGTCTAATTAACGTATAAGAAAGTTGGGGTACAGTGCATCGAGGGATTTTCTTACCGTCCTTATGTTTGTTATGGAGATCATGGTTAAAATAATTTCAAAAGTTGAATTTTTTCATTCGGATTATTGATATTTATGCTACCTTTTAGTAGTTTAGCTTTTCTTTTAACAACACTCATGTCTCAAGAAATAAGACTTGAACTTAATTTGTTATGGTGGCGCACAGTGAATTAGGGTACAGTGAATAGTTTGATCCACAATGCCCAATTAAATATCTTAAAGATTAAATTCATGCATTTTCAATAGACTAACTACATGAAAATGAATTTATTAGTTTTAAGTTATGAATAATAATATTTTGAATAATTTTTTAATTTTTAATATTTATATAATTTTTGTTATCAAAAAAATTCTTTTTTTTTGCTTCTCAATTTTTAAAATGTCTATTTTTTCAATTTAATACTAATCTAATTAGTACAAGTATGCCTAAAGTATAGTGTACAGTGTCTTTACTCCCTCATCCTCAAAGTTATTTGGCTATGCTCCTATTCAATATCATTAGTTCACGGCTGTGTTTATTTATTCACTGTAATAAATAAAATATATATTTCAACTTTTGCTCAATTTAAAAAATAAAGAAATCCGATCCACTGTGGCCCAACTCCTCCTACATAAACCGTTTATATTTAGTCTAAGTAAACGTATATTTAACTTTAAGACCTTGCCTAATAGTTTCTTTGATTTAGTTAAGCTAATTTCAATTTATTTAAGTTTTAAAACTTATATTAATTAAAATTTTATTATAACTTTTTAACTTTATATAAGTAATAAAATCTATATAGGTCTTAAAATTTATAAATAAGATATTTATAAAAGTAATGAAATTTATAAATACTAGCAGTAGGCAACCCGTAATACGCGTTGTTAGTGAATAAAATTTAAAAAAAAACCGCGTATAGAAAAGCCTAGAAACTACTTTAAAATAAAAAAGCCTAGAAAATGACGTAATTCGACTAATAATATTAAATTAGTGTATTAATATTATCAGAAGATATAGCTATAAAAAACCTGGTTATATTTTTTATATTTTCTATAACTATTTCAATATGTTTATAAACTTTTATACTATAGTACTTGTACTATACTTTTATATTATAAAACTATATATACAGTTATAAACTATATATACAGTTATAAACTTGGGGATTTAGAGAAAAAATGTTCGCACACTATACTTCATATGTTTATGCTTCAATAATAAAAAAAAAATTAAATGATCAAGCTTTTTGCAGTGGAAGTTTAACCTATATTTTGGATCACTGTTTTCTCTAGTTTATGCATTACTAAAAATCTTCCTAGCATGCCGTCTACTTCTTTTTTATCATGTGCCTGCTCTTGTGCAACATCATCTTCTACATTCGTATCTTTATCGTCTGATTTTTAACCTGATTTGTAACCGCAAAAAACTATGTTAAAATAGTTAGCATTTTAAATGTACATTGATAAACAAAAATTGGAATTACACAGAACAACTTTACATATAGAGGATTTTCTGAATATAAATTTTCCAAAACTTTCTGTACCATCCATGTTTATTTTTGACATTAAAAAATTAGTAACGTTGCGACATAACTTATGCAGTGGTATTTACCAGCTCTGTTCCGCCAATTTTCTTTAGCAAATATAACTAAATTGAGCTAAAATGCTTCTAAAATAAAATTGAAAAAAAAAAATTTAGTTGTTAAACCTCTTGATTATTGCAAAGATGAATAACTACTGTTACGCAATCATACTAGCGTTTACAAAATGAGTTTAAACAGTTTATTAAACTTACAAAATAAGTTCTTGCAGTAGGACTTGCATAACGAGATACCAGCAACTTATATTTCTTAACTGTGTCAATGTGGCCATCAATAGTTTCTGAAATATCGGAATCCATTAATTTGTTGGCATTTCGGAAGGTAGATTTTCGCGAAAAGAGCTTTTTAACTTCTATGAATTAAAAGGGCGCACCCGACACCTGTTTATTATTTATTTATCCGTCGTTTTGCTTTCAGTTGTTATAAGGAAGTGAGTCTTGAAAACGCATTCAAGTCTAATTTAATTATTTAGCCAATAAAAAATCTTTTTTAATAAATTTTTTTATTTCGTTTTAGTTATGTCAATTTAAACCGCGTGACTTAAGCTGTTGTGAGTCTTCTGACAAATTGCTGTATTACTATATTATAATATAATAAACGTTTATTATACGTCGATAAAACGTTTAGAATAACGACCTATATTAGTCAATTTTGGAAACGTTTGATCAACGTTTATTAAACGTATATATTAAAAGATTTAGTAAAAAGATTATATTAAACGTATATATTTAAAGATTATATTAAACGTATATATTAAAAAATTTATTAAAGCGTAGATTTTAAATCTATAAATGTTTTCGTTTAATTAAAGTCGATTAAAGGTTTACAATATTTAATAATGACTAATGTAAGGCGATATTCTAAACGTTAGATCTTTTTTATATTTACGTTTAGTAAACGTATATATATAAAAGTTTATAATATGCGTTTCAAATCAAGTGTCAATTTTAGTCAATAATAGGTTGCTAAACGTTTTTTTTATTTTTCGATCGATTTTGACTAAATATTGACCAAGTCTGAACCAATCTGTGTTTACTGGGAAATGTCTTAACAACTGTAAATTTTCTTACATTTGTGGAATATGCTGACACTATTATAAAAGGAATTCTTTAGAATTTTTTTCTTATGTATTTTTTTTTTTAATATATATTTAAAGGGGTATTTTAGTAAAATTTTTTTTGAGCTCACTAGTTTTTATAGTTTCTTTGAAGAAACTTATATTCGTGCATGCATTTAGAAGTCAATTACAATTTTTTGTTTAATAAACATTCTTGGTTCACATGTGTAGTTATTTCAATTTTTTTTTTGATATGCATTTTTGAAAATATTATCATATACTGGTGCTGTTTTAAGGATGGACCAAATCAATATAAAATCATCAATATTTTTATCTTTTAATTCCCATATGTATTTTGACAGCATGGTATCTTTGAACACTTTTTATTTTTAAAGGATTGATTATGGTTGACAAAACGTTTTTTCCATTCGCCCTCTGTTAAGCCAATATATTGTTTATCAGGTACATTCTTAGGAAAAACAATACATTTGTATACCAAGCTTTTTGATAAACATTTTCTACTCATTGGACAACTATTTTTTTGTTTACAATAGCAATTTTTTGTTGTTTTTTTCATTAAGATTTATTTTTTGTTTAGCAAAGCATAACTGTAACCTTTTATAATTTTTTCCATACTTTTTGTGCAACGGTAGCTAACTTTAATTGTATTTCGATTAAAAATTTTATTAGAAAGTTATTTATTTTTAAAACTAATTAGAAGGGAGTTGGAGGGAAGGGGGGGGGGGTATATATACACCAATTTTAAAAACACTTTTACTATGAAAGCGGAATCATTTTTGTTATAAATGTGGTTCAACCGAATTGCATTTCCAGTTCTATTTCGCTTTTATTTTATTCTTTTAGGATTAAATTTTAGTTCAAAATTTTGCAATCCACTTTTTTTTATGGGCATCTTCGTTTAGAGGAGTTGAATACATTTTTATTGGAGATATTTCGGTTTAGCCTGTTATTAATTGAAATCGGTATTTGTTTTAAAATTTGGCGTGGGTGATTTGAGTTAATATTAATATATAATAACTCATTTGGTTTTTTGAAAAGCTTATATAAATTTTTAGAGAGATTAAATGCGACATCAAAAAAAATTAAATCAAACCCTAATATTTTTGCTTTCGTTGTTTTCATTGTATACTGTCTAAAATGAAAATATTTTGATAAGTAATTTTCTACTAATATATATATATATATATATATATATATATATATATATATATATATATATATATATATATATATATATATATATTATATATATATATATATATATATATATATATATATATATATATATATGTATATATATATATATATATATTTATATATAAATATATATATATATATATATATATATATATATATATATATATATATATATATATATATATATATATATATATATATATATATATATATATATATATATATATATATATATATATATATATATATATATATATATATATATATATATATATATATATGTATATATATATATATATATATTATATATATATATATATATATATATATATATATATATATATATATATATATATATATATATATATATATATATATATATATATATATATATATATATATATATATATATATATATATATATATATATATATATATATATATAAGAAATTATGTTACTCCATTTTAATAGAAAAGTAATCGGAATTTTTG